GACTGGGCCACCTGGGTACTACTGTGCCCAGGTGGCCCAGTCAACTGGGTTGCCCAGTTGACTAGGAAAGGGCGCCCAGACGATCCACTTAACTGGGCGGCTGGGGCAGCTAGGCGCGCCTAGACGGCGTGCCCAGTCGCCATTTCCGTCCGTCTGCCACATTTTCGGTAGAGGAGATCGCCGGAAAACTACATTTTCGGTGATCTCCACTCCTTCCCAAGTAATAACAACCCAAAATTTCACATTTACACAAGGATTTCTCAAGAAATATGTATAAAATCATACTTTTTTCCAAAAATAAAAATATAAACATGGTTTTTTTTGTATAAATTTCTTACCTTCTTCAGAGGGATTTTGGCCAAGTGGGTCTCCTGTTTTTCCTTATTTGTTGGTGACTGGGTTGACTGTGCTACAGTATTTTCCCGTCTCCTTCGGCTCTGCTTCGTTTTCAAGTGAGGGTAAAATTGGGATTCTCTTCACTTTTTTTGATTTTCACTGTTTTTTATAATTATGCCTTTTTTTTTTCATTGATCAAAGGCCAGTTTGGAAAATTGGCCGGGTCAACCGGCCAACAGCCACTAATTCCTCGAGAAACATATGGGTTAATAAAGATCCGACTGGGTCAAGAAAAAAGGAACCCGGGTTTCATTTAAAATTGGCGGTTCAAGCAGTTGGATGCGGGCTGTTTGTACAGCCATAAAATCCTTAAACTCGGACCAAACCAGGGTTTGGTTTGACGGTTTCCGGATAGAACCAGATGGTCCAGTTTGGGTTTTATAACTATGCTTCAAAGTCTAGGATATCTAGATTTGGGGTTTCACAAGTATGGTTGGACAAATATCAACTCAAATCGATTGGTTTGTGTTGGTTTTTAAATTTAATTTTGGTGGATTGGAAAATCAAATTTGAGGTCAGGTTAAGGGTTACGAATTAAAACTCAATCTAATCCAATGGATTAAAAAATTTAATATTTAAAAAAGGAAAAACCAAAAAAGACACAATAATGGAGACGAGAATAACTTAAAGTGTACAAACATTCATTTTTTTATTGACTAGCACGAATAATATGTACAAATGTAAAATAATTTGACAATAAACTAAAAATAAGAATGTGATAATGAAATGAATAAATTCCAAAAAAATTGTAAATGGGAAATACTCCATACTTTTAATTTACTTATATATATATACGCACACACATTTTCAAAAAGAATTCCTTATTTAAGTTAAAAGCAACAAATATGTTCAAACTTCAAAAAGTTGTCCCAATTTAACAAAAAAAATCAAATCCAACTCAAATTGCGTTGCCCAAATTGACCAACTCAATCCAACATAACCCAAATCGACCCAAGTTTGATTGGTTTAGGTTGGGTTGGTTTGGTTTGATTAGATCAAACCAACCATATTGGGTGGGGTTGGATAAAAAATCGATTCAACCCAACTCATGTCCAACCCTACTTACTTATGGGTTCAAAAGCAGTTCTTAGTATAATTAGTTTTTAACTTTTTAAAATGATTTGCCAAACGGGCCCTCAGGATGGTTTCATCAATTGGTTTGTTGAATTATAATATTTATACAATATTTAAGCTTTTATTTTTATTTAATACTACTTAGTACAGTTTAATTTGCTGATCAAACATGCCATCACCGAATAAAAGATGATAGCTTCGTAGATGCTAAACAATATTCTGTCTTTTTCTACCACTTCTTGAAGAAAAGTCAATTCTAAGTCAAGGCTTCACTTTGAGCAATCCGTTAGAGAAAAAACTATTGGTCGGTCGACAACTGAACGTTTCGATTTGGTTCGATCATTATTGCATCTACAAACCTTATCTCGTAATCCTAATCTCAATTCTTAAAAAGAAAAAAAAATTATGACATATTTAGTAAGTTAAATTAGACAACAAAATTTATGAAACTCCGACCGGTCTAATGCCTCAATTTGTTTAACACTTAATTGTCATTTTCATTTTAACAAATGCCTATCTTTCAAGGGGTAATTAGCTGAAAAATATGTTAAAAAACATTTGCCCTTTACTTGCTAAAGTCGAACAAAAAGAGAGCATGTAGAAAAAAAGTTTGGTAGGTAGATTGGTTCGCCCATTTCACGTTTTCCCCTTGGCATCCATAGATCTTCAATCTTTTAACTAAAAAAAAATAAAATTAATTAAAATTAAAACTAAAATTTAAAAAATAAATAAATGCAGTATCCAAAGTGTTTACATTTTTTTTTTTTTTGCCCTTGCATAATTATTTTGATTTTATTAATAAACAAGAGGAAAATGCAGTGCCTTAGGTAGGGATATAAAAAATATTAGGTTGAAGGGCAAAATGTGATAAAATAATCTGCTCCAGAACACGTGCGTAGACTTGATTGATCATCATATGCATAACTATATGCAGAAGGGCAAGCATTCTTGAACAATAGAGAGTAATTCGTCGGAGGGCATGTTGACGGCGTCGAGTGATTGCCCGTGCAACAATATTCCGGCGTGTTAAAGGCGGTGCATGCACTTTTACATGCCACTACTTCGCCGAAAACAATAACTTGCAGCTCCGTGGGGCAGCTTTTGTTCAGGTCAGCCACGCAACCTGCGTATTGGCAGTCACCAGAGCCACCGGATGGCCGCACACTGAGCGGGAGATTGTAGCCGTCTACGAGGCTGACGTCGTAAAAATCTTTCTCAGAATTGCTATTTGCCAGGGTGAATTCGACGAGGCTCGCTGGAGGTACCCCACTTCCTGTGCATTTCAATCCGCCGCCGCAATTCCCGGTGGCGCAATTGCCGTCTCCTGTGGCTCCAAAGCTGCAGCCAGTTCTGGCCCAGAAGCGGCCGGACCACCCAGGTGGGGCAGGAAACTGCATGAATTCACCGGGGGATAATGCAAACCCGCCGCCTCCAAGAACTGCTGCGCCGTTGCCGGAGAGAGTGCCCGGCCAGATTGTTTTACTGCAACTGTTTTGTACGGTAAACACTGTTTGGAAAAATTTTTGGGTTGAAAATAAAAAGAGGGAAAAAAAAAAAAAAAAAAAAAAAAAAAAAAAAAAAAAAAAAAAAAAGGTCGATGTGGCAATGCCGCATGTAGCTACATAAACAATGAACATTATAATCTCTTGCCCACTGTGGGTAGGAGGAGATCAGTTTTGATTGAATGAATATTATAAACAAGTCGAATATTTTTACCTATTAAGAATTGAGGCATGAGCAGAAAGCAGAGTTTTATTAAACTTGGCATTGGCATCTTTGATAAAGAGAAAACAGAATCAGATATTTGTGTGTGTAAATGGGAGTAGGAGCTGCCTATTTATAACTTTGTAATTTCTTGATTTTACCTTAATTTATTAAAATGATTTTGTTGTTTATTTCTTTGATTAGGAATTCTTTTAAAGCAACGAATAATAGTTCTAATCGCGTTCTCTGTAAATTTGAGTTAGATGTATATAGTTTTTCACGATATATGCGTATAAACCGTAAATCTTTGTAAAAATGTAATAAATCTTTAATAATTTTTTTTTTTTTTTTTTTTTTTTTTTTATTTTTTGTTTTTTTTTTTTTTTTTTTTTTTTTATATAGACTCTGGTTTATAGAAGAAAAAGATCATGCAAAGATTCAAAAGATTCTGTTTCTTGTGAGTGTCATGCAAAGATTTTTCACAAAGTAGGTTTCAATTAATTTATTTTATTTTTGTTATTAAATTTGTCCAGAATGCCTTTCAATCTGTTCTTGTAAACACGTCTGTCCTCTTTCCTTTTTAATAATTGATTGTTTCAAACACTAAAGAACACCCTAATCAGGTCTGGGGATCCATGCCAACCCCACTATAAAAGACACCTTACGAAGGCGCCATTGGACCATTCCAAATAACGACAATCATGGACGTATAAAGGAGGGATTGCGTTTAATTTTTTTAGTAATGTGTAATTTATTTATTTTTTACATCTTAACCCGACTTGTAGTCCAGTCCTGAATTCATCGTCATTTTCAAGATGAACTTTCTATGTTACGGAAAAAAAATAAAAATAAAAATAAAATAAAAAAATAAGAGAGAGAGGCAATAATAAACATACGTGACCATAGGATGATCACAAGCCATTCAAAAAGCGCATGATCATCACATACACTTGCCTTTTGTGCAGAGGCATACACACGTAAAACCCCTCTCGAAAATTTCCAGATGGAAAATAGCAATTTAAATTTCGTAAGTATTAAAAAATCTGCTATGACAAAGTAAATACAAATCATTTGTTGCCATAGTTAATAAGCAAGAATTTACACCCAAAAATCTTTTACAACAACCTTATTATGTCTAAGATAAAAATGTATTCTACACATTTTTCCTCTGCAACATTTCTTTAATAGTACCAAGAACTGGAGAGGGTCTGATATCGAAATAAGAAGCAGAAGCAAGGTAAATGCAAGCTAAACCTACGTAAACTTTAAACCAAATGGATGAACAAATGGTAAGATACATGAACCATCCAGTAAGAGCAATCACTACTCCACAATTAGCCAAACATTTCGAAGTCGAAAGTTCACCTTCTGTTCCTTGATGAGGGAACTGGCCATCAGTTATAAAATCAGAGAGCAGCTGATCCTTGAACAGGAATGCATTCATCAACCAATCAGCAGCCTCGTTTTCAGATTTCGGGATTTCCTTAAGAGGGATACGTCTGATGTGCATGTGTACTTCGGAAGGATCCACACCAAAAAGGTTGTCCAAGAAAGTAGGACATTGATTCTTGTATGCAATAGTCACATCATAAACTGCCATTAAAGTATTTCATTGAGTGTATATTAGGAACAAATTTAATGATTATCAACCTTCGAAATACAGACATCTTTTTGCTTCAGTTAACAACAAAGTTAAACGTGGATTGCCACATATACTGTCGATAATTCCAATGCCTATGACTATCATTATTCTTTAAATATATAGACAACGAACTAAAAAGAGGAACAAGGTGACATAAACCTGCGACTAGTATTCCATAATGTTAAAATAAATCATCGGGGTCAAACAAAGGTTGTCGGATCCAAAGCAATATGAACGCTGGAGAATTAGCTATAAACAGCAGATAGCAGAATATGGGGATGGGGATGGAGACCATTGATGAGGTATAAATAAAAACCACTAACGATGGTGGGGCAGACTAAGTAAAGAGAAAATGATATATTACGGTGGCAGCAGATAATTAGTGTTCTCTTTTTAGAAACGAAGGTTATTGTCTGTAGGGGGACAATAGAAAGAAAAACATACCGAAAAGTCCTTAAAAAGAAGTCTTCTATCAACAACCTACGATTTTTCTCCATTATCTAGAAGTCACTCCCTCTCTCTATCCCACGGCCAGCAGGCACTCAAGCCAGGAGCTCATAAATGATGCTTTTTCTTCTACTGTAAGTATTTTTTATTGTTTTATCTCCTATTGAGGGAATAGCTCAGGTTTCCGCTGTTTCTTAACAGCTTCCTTGAGTCAAATAAAGTTATCAAACAAATAATTCTGATTAAACTGATGCTCAAAAAGTAACAACACACACGGTCCCTTTGTGGGAGCTGGCTTTGAACTTCATAAAAAATAGTACACGTGCACATGCAAATGCAAATGCTGAGAAGGAGAGAGAGCATATTTCTTCCTCTGGTGCCAGGCAAAAATCTCAGGCGGAGAACACATGGATCAGTATGAACAGAAAGAAGTGAACAATGCTAGATGTAGTCATCTCCATGCCCATTGTGTTTAGAAGTGCTATGGTTTCCTCTGTTCTTACAGTAACTTACTAGTAGATTCACATTTAATATGCAGGCTCGATGTGCATGACACAGAGAGAGAGAGGCATGGGGATATGGGAGAAGGGAAGTGTGTGGATGTGGGTGTAGATTTTCAGAGGGAAAATTAAGGTTAATACCAGTAACAAAAGAGAACATTCAGGGATACCTCTCAAACTGATATTAAGAGACAGAGGAGAGATAAACAGTGAATATTGGGATCTTCAATAGCAAGATACTAACTGCACTACAATTTAGACATTGAAGAATAAAGAAAACAGTGAATCTTAGTTAAAAAGAAAAGATCTGAAAGGGTCACATTTTTGTAAGCAAACTGGAATGCATGACCTTAAACCAGATGAATTCCAAAATCACAATCCCCTCTGAAGAAAACAAGAAAAACAGCGAAGGAACAAAGATAAAAGAAGAAAGTAGTAACATTAAGAATGACAGATATAATATAAGTAGGAAGTTTATTCCCCTTAGCAGAGTACTCAAGCATTAAAAGGTCACTCTGAGGATCATATGACCTTGCCCAGAATGAAACAATGTTCTCATAACAGGACACTTGCTGATATGGGGTGGCTTATATCGTGCTTATAAGCCACCCCAAACATGTTCAACCTTAATACTCAACCAGAAAATATGCTTTAAATTACTGACAAAAATTATGAAGAAGTATGGACCTGCATCCAAGGAGGTCCTCAGGGTTTCCAAGCAAGCATAGAAACCCCGTGTCTTTGGAAGCAGCACATTCTTCAGCACTAGCAATCCATTTTCAGCAGCATACTTTTGACTTCTTTTACACTTCTGTTCACTGTTGACAAAACCAAGAGAAATGTGTTGTATAAACCAGGTGCAGAAGTTTACAGATAAATGATAATGCTCCAAAACATATGTACTACAGTTTTAGCGACCATGAGAAACACCATAATAGATGCAGTTCTTTCAAAGTTTGGAAATTATTTTCACTATTGTGAGTAACTAATTAGGTATAGTGAGTAATAATAATTTTCCAAACCAACAAGAATTGCACAGAATAAAAGTAGAATAAATTCATTTCCTACTGTCTAGGAGAAAGATGCATAAACAGTGCCAGTGAGGAAAACAAAAGGAATGATGTCATTACGTATAATCAGTTCCTTCAGGAAAAACAGCAAGCCACAGGGGGTCGTTACGATCGCTATAGGTTGAGAGCATTTGTTGCATTACTGATTGATCAAGTTCCCATTTTCTCTCCACTGGGATGAACTCCAATATGCGAAATCCCCAGCCAAAGATTGGCAATTTCATTAAACTGCTCTTGAGGACATATTTAATATAGCCCAAGCACCCCTTCCGCAATGCTAGATCCCACAGATACATCCAATCAACCTCTGTTCTGTGGTTGGCTATAAGTAAGACACGTTCTTTTGCTGGAACTCTCTCACCACAAAAGATCACTCTAGTTTTGTTTATCTTTTCGAATAAGAACGGCCACAATCCAAGCCAAAGACCAAACAGAAGGCATACTGATTTTCTACTGTAATGTACACTGAAAAGCCGCAGAACTACAGCAGCTGGAGGTACAAAATACACTAAGAACATAAATGCAGTTGAAAGAAAAACTAAAAAACATATTAGACCCCTAAAAATACGGAAAGGAGTCAAAGGGAAGTGCTTTAATCCTTTCGTAGAATTGAGGGACTGGCAAACTTCCATCCTCCTCTTGTTAACCTTTACGCCTTCACCTAAAAAACTTGTGCAAGATAATGCTCCTTCATTTGCTTCTGAATATTCTATACTTTGGGTTTACAGAGGAAAAAGAAAGCTCACCTAGCCCCCGGCATGACTGCTAGAGTATGAATCAAGGAGCTCACACCTAACAATGCGACTCAATCAATAAAAAGAAAGCATAAATATCTAAATATTACCTAAATAACAGGAAAGGAAAATATTGATACTGTTAACACAAGATTAGTGGAATTATATTTGAAAAATAAAAAATAAAAAATTAAGAAGACAGTTCAAATAACATCAACTCATCTACCTAGTTTCAACAAACATAACACGTCATTGAGGGGAAACTTATAAATTTAGGTAGTTACGTAAAGGAATCCATAAAAGTAAAATATCACTAACTTTACACAGCACAAAAATAGCAAGACGCGCTCAGCCTTGGTTCTCTCAGTTGTTATATGATCCTCAATCGCTCCTCATAGTTAGCACCCAATTTGGATCACTGTCATGTGAAGAGAGTGCTCTAGCATAGCACTTAATGCATCAATTAAATGCAACCAGATTTAAAACTACTTCAGCATGTTTTTATCATTCCTAAAATTGCAATATTACAGACATCACATTGAATCCTAAGAATAATCAAAACTAGCAGGCCCATGATATCATGTACAATTAAATCGAATTTCAAATTTCTTAAACATAATTTATTAGCTTCCGGGGTGAAGCAATAAGCACATTGAACAGGATGGAACTTTTTTTAAGATTTTGCAACAGGCATTAATCGAATTTGCAACATAACATCCAGAAGAAAGCTAAAGAACAAAAATATTCAGATAGCATATTAAAATCTCGTGATTTTCTGCCCATAGTAGGTGGAAATAAAAGGACCTATAATGCAATTAATTGATTACATATCTTTTCTTACTTTCTCTTGTGCAAAAGGTTAAGCATATGGAAAAATAAAAATTGTGCAGATTTTAAGCACTATATTACCTCACAAAACAAAAGTTCTATGAACATTCTGCTAATGTGATTACCAGATTTATTTCCAAATGTGAAATCATCACCAAAGATTATGCTTCATTTCAAATCTCAATAGCAAAATATCTTTAAATTCCCAATATTTTTTCACACATTTCTTGATAGTTTATCGAGAGGCATTAAGTACAATTCCCAGAACAAACTCTTATTTTTTTCTCAAATCTATTCAAAACCAGTCATATTAGCCCGGTGCCATAATCCAGATCCATTATAAATACAACTAAGTTGTAAATTGGCAATTGACATATCTCCGAATAATTCTGTCATAAATAGAAAAATATATCCAAATCTCACCCAAATCCATTCAACTAAAACGTTACGGAAATCAAAACCAAACGAAAACTTCATCAATCATCGTACGTCTATTCCTTACATTAATTCATTAAATTGCCAATACAACGTAAATTAAATTGTCACCGAATCCAATACCATCGAATCCCGTACACTAATAAAAAGAAACTAAAATATCGAAATCCACATAAATAAACCAATAACATTCCACCAATAATCACGGAGAGAACGCTGGAAAAAGGATAGGAATCTTCTTTACCTCAGAGAAAAGCGATGAAACAGAGATTCGATACATCAAAAGCGTCGAAATACTCGAATGAAAGATCATAAGGTTCCAAAATTATCGACAATATAACAGGAATTCTTTGCAGGTGTATGCGCATGCGCGTGGATGTATATATGTTTGTATGTATCTCGGCTTTTGCGTTGTTCTAGAGCTCAAAAAGAGAATCTCATTCGCGATCACTGAACTTTCAGATAAATATTAATTAGGCCACTAACTTCAATTCATTTCATTTAAATCATTTAATTTCGAATTGTTCCACTCTATCATATTAAGTTTCACATCGCCCCTCAAATTGACAGAACTTGCTTAGTTTATAGTATATCATAATTGATCTTCTATACAGTTTGTACGTTAATGAAAAGATAAGACAAGGGTATCATATTACTCTTAACCCCTATTTGGTGAATATTAAAATTAGAATTTTAGAAGATTTTAATAGAAGTCGATGAATGTATGGTTTAAAAGTTGTGAATCCCATAAAATGTGTTATTAAAATTAATCGTTGACTTTGATCTGGATTAAAATCTTGATTTTAATATTCACCGGATGGGGGCTAAGATTAAAACATTCAACCATGCCACATATGCATCCTCCTTTTACATTAAGTTTGATACTCTTCCACATAACATTCATCAAAGTCATTGTTTTCTACATTATTCTATCACATCACAGTCCAAAGTTGGATACCGAGAAAGAAAGTCAAGGAGAAAGTAAACATCCATGTACACATAGTTTAATTCTAAAATGCAATGTTTTGAAAATCGATCCGATCATCGACTCGAAAAAGGTGAAAGGTCAAGAGTTAAAATGTTTAATTGGGATATAATCGAATACAATAAATACATACAAAAATAAAAAAATACTATGAAAACAATATTTTTTTAAAAAAAAATTTTCATATTAATAATTTGTTAATTAAATTCATTATTTTATAATTTGTTAACATTTTTGTTATGCCACTATCCCACATTGAAAGTTTATGAAATCGTTGGAGAGAAGTACGTCTATAAAATGTACTATCTCACATTGGAGGTTTATAAAACTATTTGAGAGATGTGTATCTATAAAAGGAGTATGTCATCTAATATTTCTCCATGGGCCTTTGAATTGTTGTTTATGAAGTTCATTTATGAAGTTAAAAAATTTTAAACTTAAAAAATAATTTGGAAAATCACAAAATCGCAACCGGTTCAACGGTTAAATTGGCCAGTTAGGTGGGTTTTATGCGGTTTAGACATAAGTGATTAATCGGGCATGATTGGGCCAAATTTGGGCCCGATTCCCAATTTTACCAGTTGAATCAACCCCGATTCTGATAACATTGCTAAAATGTATAATATAGATATTTATTTTACATTTTACTACGTGTAGTGTTACATAGAGATATTATACAGTGATTAGATAGACAATTCCCTGCTAAATGACTATAAATAAAACAATTTCCACAATATAGAGCCTTTTTTCCCCATTATGGGAGAAATTAAAGAATTTTGAATAGTATTTTTTGGAAAATGTGTAACTAAAATTTAAAGAAACTTTATTAGTTTGTTGAGAATATTTTATTATGTGAATGTATGACGAAAAATGTTATTGTAACAAACAATTTAATTAGTTAAAGGATGACAAACAAGGGTTTAGTAGTATTCAAGCAATGAAATGGTGAAATTTTGAAACTAAAGGTAAGTGAGCAAATTGAGACTGATTAAAGTTTAGTGACCCAATTGAACTTTTCTCATAATTCAATGACCGCAGACAAATTTACCCGCTTATAAACCGTTGCAAGTAATTATCTGGTGTAGTTAAGGTAGCGTTGTTGCGTAATCCCATTGGTTGTCCCAATAGCAAATCACGTCCATAGAGAAAATTGTTTGGTGGGCCCTCCAATCATTGTGGTGGTGGCGGTCGACAAATTTTGTCTCACAAGACTCATTTTACTCTTTTTGGTTAGAATAAATTTCGTTTAATGAATATTCTAAAAGCATCACTCTCATCAATTAAGCTATTTATACAATCTTTAGGAGCAATCGTTGTTGACAATCTTGATTTGTCAAAACTCAGATCGTTGATTTAAAAAATGATTTTTAAAATGAATGAATGTGTTTCGTACGGGTAGTCGCTAACAATTAAAAAAGGGAATCAGACGATTGTGTAAGGAACAGACCTCTTGAGACAAAGTCCCAAAAAGGGGTATTTTATTGGCGATGATTTACAATTAGAAATAAACAGAATGCCTCCAAGGGGCGCAAGTACACGAGTACTAAAAGAAGTGTTTAAATTTAAGCTATAAAATTAAAATTACATATTCTCTGTTTGAGAGTATTTGATTCAGCCTTTTTCTCTATGTCTTCTCTTTCTTTTTATATTCTCTTGATGATTTCTTCTTGACAAAATCGCTTGGAAACTGTTTAATTGCTTTATAACTACCCACTTTCTTTATGGTGGCTAACTTGTTGTGTAATTGCCGTCTCTAACGGCTGTCATTACTCTTTGTCATTCAACTGCCTTCAACTGAGCTCCTTGAATTGTGGAATGCGATAAGATTACTCAATAACTGCTTCAATAACTATTATTCTGGATAACCATAATATTTTATGTTTGCTAAGATCCTACGCGATTCGAAAGTTTGGGTGAGAACAGGGTCATCGCTCTGGACGACCGTAAGGCACTCCATTCGCTCAGATTCTGGGCGTCTTGCAAGCTTGGGCAATGATATTACTGTGTTTGTGGGCTTCCACTGCATTCATCAATAATCCTATTTGGACCTTTATCCTTGACTCCTCAATTGGGCTTCACTCTTTGAGCTATTTGATTTGGGCTGCACTTTTAGTGTGTCAACAATTACCCCCAATATGGCAGAATTAATAATTATTAATCTTTGCCATATTCACTTTGTATTTTCCAGCAACATTTGAAATTCCCAAAAATTTCAATCATTATTTCCTTCTATAGCCTGAAAAGGTGCAACGTTACAAACTCTTATAAACTCAAAAGACACGCCATTTCATCGCACCACTAAACCATGTCTCTATATTTCACGCTTCCTCCTCACTATTTTACTGTTCATTTTCTTGCTTCTCTGCTTCGTTTCTCAGGCAAATCTTAACAAAACTGTACTTTGCACCCAATGGCGACTTTACAAACTCAATCTGATGATTCTTTTAGTTTCGAAGATTTCCAGAAAATCCTTACTAGGCCGTATGTAAATCCAAACTTCCTTGCACAAGCTAATGCTGACCTCAATGAATTCTATCTGGGTCCATTATTCAATAATGCCGAAGCCGTTGGACAAGTGGCGGTGGGCCAGCTGTTCCCTTGCACTCAAGACCCTCCGTTCCTGAACTCTCTGCCATTGAGGCTGATTCGCGAAAAAGGTATTCGCACTTGGCCCAAAGCTGATGTTATTTTTCGTAGATGGCATGCACGTCTTGTGAATCATGGCCCTACCAAGGCGATTTTTGATCGTGCTAGGATTTTAGACTTATTAGAAATTGCTCTTCAACCCCCAATTTTCAACCCAGTGCTTTTTTCGATTGCTTTGAGTTTTTGGTCTTTTGAATATAGTACCTTCGTTTTCCCTCTTGGTCTCATGTCTATTACTTTAAGGGACGTTGGAGCCCTAGTAAATCTTCCGCCTTTGGGGCGATACCATCTTTCCTGATATCTTGATTTTCAGTGTTGGCTCGAAATTTGACAAGAAACTTACTGAGTCCTATTCAAGTATGCAAGGCTTTTATAATCATTCAAGCGCTGAACCTTCCCGTACTGAGTGTGTGGCCTTTCTTCAAATTTGGCTCTGTAAATATATTCTCTGCGTGCCAAGTATGAAACCTTCTATGAGCTACTTACCCATAGCGCATGAATTAGCGCACGGTAGGCCTTTGAACTTATGTTCCTTCTTTTTAGTTGCCCTTTATAGAGGCATGGCTTCCCTTCAATCTCAACTGAAGAATGGTGCATCTCCCACTGGCAGTGGGCTCCTTTGATTCACTCAACTGTGGTTGAGAGCGTACTTTCCACCACTTGGCGCTCCATTCATTTCCCTTCGTTCTGCTAGCTGCTATGAGCTAGCCATTGACCCATTGAACCCTGTAAATATGTCCAGTAGGGACATATTTTCATTCTTTTATACCTTAAATTCGATTTCTTTCTTTTTTCCTTTTCCTGCTCACTTGACTCCAGATTGTGTGCAACCTCCATCCACCCTAGACAGTGCGAGCACCTCTCTGCTTGTTTGGGTTCAGTTTTTGATTGGGAGGAAATTGTTCCACGATATTTTAACTGGAACCAATGCCAAGGCTTGGGTTGAAATATATGCTTCCCAATTTTTTGCTCGCCAACTTGGTTTTGGCCAAACTTGGCCTGTTCCTCCTTGCTACTCCAAAAATTTGACAGATCGTTTTCACACTATTAATAAGGCAGAAGCACGAGCTGTAGATGCTCGAAACATTCTTTTGACGAGCAAATTTTCATTAGCCCCTTTCAATTCTAGCTGTGCCGTCCATCCTCTTTTTGAACAGTTTTGGCCATCAGTGAAATGCAGATTGTTTGCAACTGATGCTAATCGTGCCTTCCATTTACTGGACCAGCCAGACACTTCCTCTACTTCCCCCTGTGTCCATTAGGAATCCTTCCTCCCCTGTTTGCGCTAAACATCCTATCCGTCCATCTACTTCTTCACCTGTCAAGGCTATTGCAGCTAAATGTACCTTAAGTCGCAAACAACCAGCTTCAGCATCTCCCATTTTGCGGGATGATGACGATGATGACGATGACACTTCTCTCATCTTTAGGAGAAAGGTAATTGAATTTGTTTATTCACAAACATACTTTTCTATGTACTAATAGTTTACCTGAATTTCTCAAAAAAGTTCAGTCTCTCCTTTGAAGGCTTTGGTTTTGGCAACTCCTGCTTCATCATCTTCTACTGAAACTGCTTCATCCAAATCAGCTGATGAAGGGACTATGCTTAAAGAGAAACCCTTAGTCCTGGAATCTTCATCACAACCAGTAGAAGGGCCACCTTCTTCCCAGGGCGCCGACCCCCCAAATGTCAAACCAGAAGGAAATACATATTTTGATGTTTTACCTTTGCTTGTGCTACTGGTTTTTGATTCATTGCTTCTTG